CGCTAGAAAGAAGCAGGAAGGGATTGTTGGCAGCTCCAGGGTCTGTTTTGCACAGCATACTCCATCGCTTCCAGCAGAAAGCCCTCGACCTTTGAAGCTTAGAAGCATACTTGATATGAGCCCTTTCACCGTGACAGACCACACACCAATGGAAATAGTGGTGGATATTTTCCGGAAGCTGGGTCTGAGGCAGTGCCTTGTAACACACAATGGGTGAGTAAAGTGGCTGCAGTGCCATTCATTTTGTCAGATGCAGTAATTTTCAATTCCAGCATCAGAGTATTTGAACCAGGATATATTCCAGGATCATGGTGTTTGAACCTGTAAGTTTGGTACTGCAACTGAGGACCCTAACTGTTTGTTAAGAAGGTGCTGTGCTGTGGCGCCTCTCTTAAATTCTTACTCCCCCGTCATATTCCAGGTGAGCAGGCAGGTGATTTCAGTCATTTTAAGATGTTCTTTTAAAAATGAGCTCTCATTCAGCAAGTTTTGTGTGTGCAACTTGCACATGGAGGAGACATGCCTTGTCTCACAGAAATTTATTCTGGTGTGGTGCACAGTCTAAAGCTTGTATTTCCTCATTCTTGTGTATGTTCTGGCGGTGTATCAGCTATCGAACACCTGCAAATATCTGGGTTCAAAAAAGTAAGGGAGAAAACGATCCCATCAATATCTCGTCTTCTAGAGGTTAGTGATGGTGATTACCACTGAGCTCTTGTTTTTGGAATACTAACAACCTAATAACTGCTACTAGTTCTGGAACTTCAGTCTGCAGCCTTTGTTCCTACTCTTCAAAATATTTCAAGAAAGTTATTTTAGGATTTAGAATGTTTGTAAATGAGACTGTAGGAAGTTATCATGTTACTACCCACTAAATGTATCATCCCTAGGCGTGGAAACATAAATGTTCATTAGATAAGAGGCAATTGCCTCTTATCTAAACTGCTCCTTTTTTCACATGATCTTTTTCTGTGTAGCTGTTCCTTTAACATTCTGCTTTCCTGTGTCTCTTGCATTAAACACTTGACACACAACATCGCAGCCCCTACCATAGTGTCCTGCTTTCTCTTTAGCCTGTCTTTTAAGGCACCTGGGAATGAAACATTGTCTGCTAATCCAACGTTATTTAGGATCAGTGTCCATGGGACAAAACCCAAGAAACCTGAAATATGGATGGGACTTACTTTGTTTTGTTGTGGGCTGAAGGACTGCCGCTATAAGTGGCACATATTTAAATATCACATTGGTTTCCAAGTTTATTTTTTCAGGATGCTGTTTAAACCAAATTTATTTTAAATGTTCTCCTGCTTTTTTTTTTTCCTTCAATGCGTCCCCATATTAAATGGCGAGTAGATGTTTTCAGAAGCATAAATGACTTAAAAAAACTTTCTCTGATGGGGAAAGGACATCGATCTGACACTTAGAAGTCAGTGCAGGCATTCAATTATTCTTGTTTTGGGGAGAGAAATTTTACTTGATAAAACTTAATAATAAATATTCCTTATGATTTTCATTTTTAGTTTCTGTAGTGGTTGAGTGCTCAAACATTGACATTGATGTTAAAATCAACTCCTAATTTGTACCAGAATATCCATTTCAGGGAGTTGCTCTTGATTTATATAGTATAAATCATGTCATGAATGAGAAATTTGTCTGAATTTGTCTGTTTCTAGGGACACCAGATAGCCCTGCTTTACAGCGCAGCTTCAAACCTTAATTGCTGTGACTTTCCACAGTGATTACTTTGTTCATCTACTGTGGCTTGTTAAAATAATAAGGATCTGAACGTGTGAGGAGGAATAACTATGGAACAAAGGACCTAAAGTAGATTCTAGTTTCAGTGCCTCTAAAACCCAGAGAGACGTGAATTTGGGGAGAAGGGATGAAGTGTATGCTTCCCTGGTGTGTACTTGATCTGAGAAACATACTGCTCTGGGGTGGTCAAAGGTCCAATTGTGTTCAGCATTTTGGGAGAAAAAGAAAAAAGGCAATGTCTGGGAAAGGGTACTGACTTTGAAATCATTTTTCATTTAATTATCTCATTAGCTTTCCTGCAACCATTTTTTTTTTTTAAGTTTTGCTCTACTCTAATCCTTTTTCATTATAACTAGAACTTTTTTTTAATTTTATTTCACACACAGTTATTAGCATAACATGATCTGTTTCAGGATTGTCTTGGGGATCATCACAAAGAAGAACATATTAGAGCATCTCGAGCAACTAAAGCAGCACGTCGAACCCTTGGTGATTAGATATATCAGATCTCATAATTAGACACATTAGAAGTCAGGAAGCATGAAACTTGTGAACTGTTCAGGGCTTTTATGACATCGGCTGAACAATGAAATCATCTTATGCTAAAAATTTGTATCAAACCATAAAACAATATGTGCAAAATCTTTTTGTAGAAATGAAGCTGTTATTATGGATGTACTGTTAGTCACAACATTAAACGAAAGTAAACAACAGACTTTCTGGTATATTTGTTCTTGAGATCACATAGATCGATCTGGCTGATCTGCTGATTTCCCCAGGTGGGAGGGTGCGCAGCTAGGAATACTTTCTCTCCCCCCCCCAGTGCAGATGAAGATTTTCATATATGCTAATTTCTTTCTCTGATCTTGACAGCTTTAAGTAGCTGTTAAAAAGCAAAGTAAGTATCAAGTCTTTTGAGAAGCAAAGCCAAGCATGTTTTTATTGTACTGCAGCATTAGATCCCCTTTATCAACATCATTTTTTTAAAAGTACTCATATTTTTAGTGAAGTCTTGTGATTTTATGTGAAGTCCTGTGCTTCTGCTGCTGTTACCTGCAGCAATTAATGTACTCCTTTATAAAATGTTCAGTGATAGCCAAAGCCACTAAGTGGCGTGCTACTATGTTGACTATTGACTTCAGAATCTAGATACTGTTTTAACCACGATGTTGTGAACTAACCTTAGATAGAAGGTGGACTTTGTCTTAACTTGGACATGGGTTGCTAGTTACATCTCTACTAAACCTACCCACCAAGTTTAGCTGCTTATGTGCAAAACATGCTAATTATGTTCTCATTTTATGCTCATATTTCACAAGTATTTCATGCGTCCTTTGATAAGACAAACAGAAATGTACTAACCAGAATAACAAAGGCAGCAGCTCATTCATTCTGCTCTTTGCTTCTCCTCTGATAGTATCCTTTTGGACAGTCTCACCCTTTTTGATATTTCACAGAGCTGTAATTTTAAAAGCTGTGAAGACCCTGTCATAAGAGCACAGTATCTAAATTGGAAAACAAAAATTTTCTTTTATAAGTTACGGTATATTTTCTAAAGCTGGGGACCCCCAAAACTAGTTAACTGTTGCTTATTTTGCAAAAGTTCTGTGGCCAATATAGTGTGCTCCTATGAATGCATTCAGCCTGAGCCAGTGCGTCAGACTGGAAGGATCCTTTCGATTTAAAAATGGAGGGAAGGGGAGTTTGATTTGCTCTTAGGATTTTGGGCCATCAAGCGGTACGTCACTTCTGATGGCTCGGTTGGAACATGCCTCCCTTACGAAATGGGATCAGTATCACTTCTTTTTCATACCTCTTTTTTTTCTTTGTCCCTCTCTGTTACTTTTTTGTTGGCATACGCTAATCAAAATTTCCTTTTTGTAGAAACAAAAAGTTAAATAAAAATTGTCACGGGCTCTACTCGCATTACTTTGTATTTCATTAAAATGGACTACAGCTGTCAGAGACCATCTGATATGGTGTCTCAGCATTGCTGTCTTTTAACAAACCAGTGGTTCCTCAATATTTTGATTAATAAACCATTTTTGTTTAAATAATAAAATCAGGCTGTTTACTTTTGCTCTATTCCTGTCAACAAAAAGGACTTGGCTACAGATTTGTTCTGCTTTATTGTTTTCCTGCTTGGATTAATATCGATCTTCCATTTATCCTTTTCAGGCGCCTCCTTGGCATTATAACAAAAAAAGATATCCTCCGTCATATGGCCCAGACGGCAAACCAAGACCCCGCCTCAATAATGTTCAACTGAAACCCATAGCTGAGGAGAGAGAGGAAACGGAAGAGGAGGTTCATTTGTTGAATAGCACAACACTTTAGTCCGGGGAATACTTCTAAAATCAGAGACGAGAGCTGGGTTTTTGCGTAACGGTGCTGCTGGAAATCGGGAGTCGGTCTGGGGGAATATGTGGCAAGGAGGAAGGCTGATGGGAGCGTGGGAAGGCAGAGCTGCTGTCCTGCACTGGATGCATCCCGAGACGTCAGGTCTGCCATGATAGTGCAGTGTGCGAGCCGCGCGAGGTGGCACAATTCTCCAGCCCCGGCCTGGTACTTCAGCATTGAAGAGATGTGTTAGTAGTCCCTGTTTTTGGAGGGATCATTCTGCATCGAGCCATCCTACGGAGACTGAAAGGTCTTGCCCCTTTCACCATTGAAAACTGTTGCGTTAACTCATGAAACATGTAATTCTTACGTGTCACCTTTCTACATTCCATTAAGAGCTTTATTTCTCTCTCTCCTGAGCCGTAACAAAGCCTCTTTAAAATTGGTGTGCCCTTCTGAAGCAGTTGTTTCTCATATTGAGATGCGCTGCGAGTTACTGAGGTTTGATCACAAGAAGGAAGGTTTTTCTTGTGCCATTAAACGTGTGAGTTTGTACATCGTGAAATGCTTGGGGCGGTACAGATCCACTGCGACAAAAACAGATTGAGCAGGTAACGCCTCGCAAGAGCCACGCGAGACTTCCTTCAACCCATGTGCTGTCGTGATATGAGAAAAATTAAAGCCAGGTGAAACTAGTGTTTCAAAGAAAAAAGACTGGTTTTGCTGCAGAAAATATTGATAATGTGACCTGGTCTTATGCAATTTTTGTATTATTGAAAACACTATGATATAAACCAATGTTGTGCAGTATAAGGGAAAATACTGCTGTTCTACTAGTTAAGAGCTGGAACAATTCTGTATACATGTATCTGGTAAAAATTGCA